TGAGTGGCACATGGCATGGACATACAAACTGATAGACAGACAGACAGACAGGAGACAAGAAGATGTGATGCGGTCGGTGTATTCGCGCACACGCTGCCAGAACGCCGTGTGATGGAGCGAGTGATAATATGGATACTAACGGCCATGTGGTGGGTGTGCGGCTGCGTGGCTGTGTGCATGAGACGGTTGACTCATGGCCATGCATGGACGCCCATGGCTGGTTGGGATGCTGTATGGAATGAAATCGCCGCTTCAATCAAACAAGTCTCACCAACACGTAACACGCAACACGTAAGAGGGCAGAAGCAGGCCGATAGGCACATGTACGATGTGTATGTCTATTCGCCCGTCATTCGTGTGTCCGCCAGCCAATGCAAATGGACCGATGAGATCTGTCGCACACACATACGGCACGGCACGGCCTCAGCACCAACACCAACACCAAGACAGAGATGAGTGCAGGGCAGGCATGGCGGCAGGGAGTGAAGGGGCGCAGGGAAGACAGTCAGGCAGCCCGCACCGCACCGCACCGCACCGCACACCCACGCCAACGACCACAACTCCCTCCTCGAAAAGTCACTAGAGAAAACACAACACACCCCATGCAATTCTGGCTGGACTGGACGGAGGTGCCCAAGTTGGGCCGCAACCGTCAAATGCAGTTAATAATGAGACCCCCTACACTGGCCAGCCACGGCAATCGCTCGACAGGCAGAACCGCCGATATATCCCGTCGCGGTTGGCTGCAGTGCAGAGGGCGAGTCAAGTCGTCTTCAAAGACACACATACACCACTCACACCCACAACCGACACACAGCGTCATGAAAGGGACAGAACCGATCGACACAGATCGAGACCTCACGCACACATCGCATTGCATTCGGACCTAGGAAAATAACTAAAGATTAGATGACTGCGCTCTCGACAGCCCGCTCGGTTAGTAGTCAGAACTGTGTCGAGCGGCAACAGCGGACATGGTGGCGACGTGGATGATAATGATGATGAAGACCAGGACGAACGAGACGCCGGCCGAGATGAGGCAGCGCCAGGCCCACTTCTTCCTCTCCGACCCATCCGCGGCGTCCATGTTGAAGCAGAAGGCAATGCACCCGACGATGGGGAAGAATATCGACAGAATGCACGACACCTGACATCAACACACCACGCCACACACAGGGTGAGGGCAACGTATGGGCGACTGACTGGCTGCTTCACCCTGCCAGCCTGCCTGCCTGCCTGCCTGCCTGCTTGCCTGCTCGCCCAGATAAGTCAGTCACCTGTGCGCAGCCGAGCATACACGCCTCATCGTCGTATCGGCGATCTACCACCACCGCCTGTGGGACGTGAATGACGTGTGCACCACCCCCATACTGTGCCGGAACAGCCTGTGGCTGGACGTACTGCGGCTGATCACCGCCCTCCGGCTTCCCAGCTGTGTTTGTCGTCGCCAGCGACTGGCCGACAACAACCGGCTGCACGTCGTATGCCGGTGCAGCGGACGGCAGTGTGGATGTGGTGTAGGTATCCCCCGAATGCCCGGTGGGAGGGGGCACGTCGATGCGGTCGGGGTGGCTGCTGAGGTGGGGAAGGACGGCGGCGAGGTGAGGAAGGATGGCCGCTCGCCAATGGGATGGGCCGGGGCGAGAGAAGGCTGGTCAATGGAGGGATACGTCGGCATGATGGGGCTGCTGTTTGCAAGGGGCACTTGGGCAAAGGCGGCGGATATGAGTCACCAGCTGAGGACCAAGATACCAAATGTGCTCGATTCGGGAGATGCGAGTGTCCGTCAGAGCAGCAGCAGTATGCGACAGACTGAGAGAGGCGACAGCGACAGATTCCGTGCGAGAGATCGGAGAGAGAGAAGAGGGCCAAAGGGTTTCAAAACCCTGTACCCTGAGCTAAGCTGCTCGCCGAAGAACACCGGATCAGGAAAGCCAACCCTCTGTGTCAATGGCGCCGTCCAGGTGATCACGAGCGAGTACCTTGCGCGTAGCCACCGCTGCTACATACAGTATGTCAACGTATCATGAGCTGAAAGAATCCCTCCCGACCCCCTCCCCCAGCGCTCCTCCGCCAGAGGACGCCAGCGAACCGGCTGCTGAGGACTCCATCGACGCCGAGGCTCCTCAGCAGGGAGCCAACGACAGCCATGCGGCAGCTGCTGAGTCTGGCGCTCCAAGTGACGCTGTGGTGGTGGGCGTGCCCGTGCCGATGAGTCAGCAGCTGCCACACCCGGCGGCCACAGACTCGACGCAGCCTGTGGAGCTTGGCTCGCAGTGGGTTTGCACAGGTCAGGGGGGATCCATGGCATGCACAAAGAAGCGAGGGAGAGAGAAGGAGAGAACCAACTTACTGACTGCCCCATTGTGCCTCCGTTCGTTTCGTCCCCTCTCAGGTCATTCACCCAATGGTCAACCGGTGTTCCAGCCCGTACAGGGATCGATGTGGGTGGGCAACCAGCTGGCGTCGTCTGTGGGTCGGTTCGTGGCGCCACAGGCTGCTGCCGAGGGGGGGAGGGAGGTGCTACTGCCCGGCGGGCCCATCATCCTCGCTGCAGATGACTTCCCGCCGTGGAAGTGCACCCTCTTCGTCGTGAGTGACAACACGAGCACGGACACGGGGTGGCTGAGTCACGAGAACCATTTCCTCTCACCCTCTCTCTCTCTCTCTGTGTGTGTGTGTGTGTGCGTGTGTGTTCAGTGTTGCATGGTGATGAGTGTGTTCGCTCCCTTGATCGGGTTGGTCATGTCGTTTGTGACCTGGCTGCTGAACCGAGATGCCGCGCGGGGCAGCCCTCGCGCCCGGTGGAACACCATGGTCCTCTGCTTCTCGATCGCGTGCTCGGTCATATGGTCGCTGGTGCTCACGGTGGCGGAAGAGTGAACGAGTGATGGCTCTGGTGGATGGATGATAGCGATGGTGGAGGAGTGAATGGGGGGAATGGTTGAAATGAGATGTGTGCTGGTGGGCTGTGGGACTGTGTACGGCGGTGGCGGTGGTGTGGTGTGGTGGGTACGGTTTTTGCTGTCTGTCTGTTTGGTGTGAGTCATCTTTTTGATGGAGCAGCCTGGCTGCGACTGGTCGTGCCTGGCCGTGCGTGTACATATGTTGTTGGTGTCTGTTCCAAGAGGGAGGGAGAAGGACACTCGTCGTGACCTTGCCTGCGCCTTCGTGATTGCCGTGATGGCCGCGACATCCTGTCAGGCACGGTAATCACAAAGGTGCAGGCAAGGTGACGCCGAGTGTCTTCGAGTGAATAGTCTGATTGATAGAATGGATTCCATTCACTCACCGCCACATAAATGCATCGATGCAGTTATCCATCCATCTATTCACAAGAGGGTCAGAACATACACACACATGCACGCACGCACGCACCGACTGGCACGCAGTGCCCTTCATATCGTCCTTGGTTGTCTGGTGGGGTGCAGCCACACAGTGACAGACGACAGATCCAACCCCGCCCACACCCAAAGCCATGCACGCAAACAGTCACGAATCACCCTGCCCCTGGTCTCCCCTCTCTCCTGCCGCATCTTCTCCGACGAGGCAATCACCAAAGGGACAACCCGCATCCGAAACGACCCCAATACAATCCTCGCTACCGCAATGCCGCGACGTGCGTGGTAGTCACTGGTTGCAACCATCACCTGCCGGACTCGATGCTCGCGGAATAGAGGCCCGGTGGTGACAAAGTTGGTCACAGTGTCGACTGCCCGTCGGTCGAAGATGACGTGATCTGTCGAGAGCCCGAGTGCCGTGATGTCCTCATGAGAAAGGGCGCCTGATGAGATAATGACCATTGCAGATGGACTCAATAGTAAGTGCCCGTCCTTAAGCAGCGTCAACGCGGCAGCTTCCCTCGCCCTATCGCCTCCGAGCACCAGCAGTGCGTCGGAAAGAACCGCTTTTCTCGGCGGTGCCAGGGTGACGAGCATCATGTTGACGATACGGCGCGCTTGCACGGTGAGGATGTAGAGGAAAGCGCCCAGCACGAGGACGCTGATGGTGAAGGCCCTGAGGCTGCCAGGGCACAGGTAGGCGCAGATGACGGATGACCAGGATCTTGACACAGGCGCATAGCCCTTCGCTGCTACTTCCACAAACGGCAGCATCCAACAGATCACTCAGTGCACCAAGATGGAATCTCTACGAGGAGGGTGGGGTGCTTCAAGCGGCAGCTTCATCGACGTGACTCCCAGGAAGGCATGCATGGGTGACTCTGGTGAGGCGGCGGAGAAAAACATCCGCTCGCGGTCTTGCCGCAGAAATCCTGAACCCTAAACCCTGTCGTGCGAAAGAGATGGGGAAGAAGACGTATGCAGCCTGGGTATCGAACCGCATCGAGGATCTGCTCGTCCTCTTGGTCTTTCTCGCGTTGACCGGTGCCCTGTCGATAGCCCTGCTCAAGCCCGACCTGCCTCTGAGAGCGTACGCCATGTTCTATCTCGCTGCAAACGGCCTCGGCGTCGCTCTCATGTTCTGCGATAAGACCTGCTCGCAGCTGTGCGACAGAAAGGTGAGCCAAGACACACACACACACAAACGACAGACATCAAAGATTCGATTCGTGCACTCATCCGTCCGGTGTTTGTTGGTGCACTCAGATGAGCTGTCGCTTGTCTGAGAGATCCTTCTGCGCCATTTGTCTGCTGGGCGGCGGTTTGGGCGTGTTCGTTGCAGTGAATGCATTCCAGCACAAGAGCCGCAAGACCGACTTCCAGCGGAGCATCGCCCTCTGCTGCATGAGCCATGTGGCCGTGGCCGCCCTGTGTGCCCTTGTGAGATGGCACACATGAGCGGCAGACGCGATGGGGAGCGCTGTGGCCTAGTCCTGGATAGTCTCATGAGTGCTGCTCGGGTGTCGACAGACGAGGTGAGAGGAAAGGGAAGCGACGGGAGGTGATGCTGCTGTGCACGTCTGTGTGTGTGTGTGTGTGTGCTCTCAGGTGGCGGATGGATACGGTGCATTGATATGACATGATGGGCCGCTGGGTCGTTTCTCTGTCTCGAGCTGACTACTGACTGACTGACTGACTGACGGATTCAGACTCTGCCTGCCGTTGCGCTATGAGTTAATGTACTTTCACAACTGCCTGACGGATTCGTGTACGTACTTGTTTGTGTTCAGTGTTGTGAATAGCTGTCACTGATATCTTTCGTGTCAAGACTGCAATGACCTCCGAGAGGGCCGCTGCTGGTGTTGGTGGGGATGCGCCATTCGAGTACCGGTGGGGATGCGAGGGCAGGTCGTGTGCTGTTGCCCGTGGCGCCCTGAAGAAGATGTAGATGACGACGTGGCGCATGATGGAAGAGACGGCCGGTTGGTCATCTTGTGTGCATGCGATTGACCGGGATGAGCTGGCCATCTTGCATTCATGAGGACAAGTGAATCCCGCTTGTCTGTGTGCAACAAACACGGCAGTACAATTCAATGCGTCCATCCATGCTATGCATGGCACACAGCCAGTCCCACCCAGGGCAGACAGACACACAGCCAGCCTGGATGCATGGATGGATGCTGCCTGAAAGTGTGACTCTCACCTTGATACACACACACACACACACACATGGCCGGAAAAAAAAGTCAGAAAAAAGCCATTCGTCTGTGCAAGCAAGCACACGCTACCCATCGCGCGTCATCGGCGCCCCTGCCAAGCAGGAGCGTCAGTTCAGTGTTGGTGAGATGCCATTTTGCGTGGTAGACTGGTGACAACGTAGCAGAGCCAACCGAAGGATAACATGAGACAGCTTCTTTCTTAATGCCACACCCCAGACATTCCCCAGACCCACGACAACGACCGACGAAGCCAAGCCGCACACACCAACCTGTATATTGATAAAAAAGCGTCAATATTCACGAGATAGATACACTACGATGGCGCTCCCCCAATCGGCAAAAAGTCACTCACGGGAAAGCACAGAAGGTAATGAATAAAACATGATCCCAAGCACGCGTAGCATGTACACACATGATGCATATCAAATGCACTCCTCTTCTCTTGCTCACACGCATCAATCAATGCATCAAAACAGCCCCGCTTGCAGAAAAAGCACGGGGAGGGAGAGCATGACACATGCAGACAAAAGCTGCATTACATGCACACACAGCAGGCCCATCAAGTCAGAGAGTAGTCACAGTAACCTGTGAGTTGAGCTGCTGCACCCGCCGGGGGGTGGGTGTGGGGGCACTCGGTCCCGCTGGTCTTGCCACGGCCCCGCCGGTCTCGTCCATCGGTCCGTTGGTGATGGGGAGGTACCACTCGAACGCCGTCGCCTGCCCCTGGGCCACCAGGCTCTCGTACTCGTGCTTCTGCTCGCAGGCCACGATGTCTCGCTCGGCCTCAGTGAGGAGCAGGGGGGCGATGAAGTTCTGCATGACCAGCGAGAAGTTCTGGGACGAGTCGGCCTGGTGGTGATAGACGCCGCCGGTGGCGAGGCACAGGTCGCGGTACACCGTGGCGCTCTTGGTGCTGAGACTGTTGCCGATGAGCAGCAGGGAGATGCGGATTTTGCTGAAGAAAGTCACGCAGAGCAGGGAAATGGGTGGATGGACGATTGTCCTGCGTGTGTGCACCCTACCCCTTCATGCGATTCATCAGCTCGTTGAAGCCGTCGAGCCCGCTGAATGGCGCAGGCGAATGGTTGTCTTCGCCGTCCGTGATGATGATGATCTCGTGCTGCAGATCCTTGTAGTCCTTGGTCGCCGTGTAGATGTACTCCCACAGGTATGTGCCGCCCCCTGTCGTCCACGCGCCTGCCAGGTTGCTCTCCGTCAGAATATCCGTGTGTCGATAGATAAGGCGGCTGTCGCCCTTGGATGATATCAGGTGGACATTGGTCGGCGTCACGTCCAGTCGGGGCTGCAGTTCCTTGAGTGCCTTCTTGCCCTTCTGGACACGCTCGCCCCCCATCGATCCAGACCCGTCGAGGCAGAGGTGGCACATCTGGATGTCCTGCGCCGATTCCGGCTCCACCGATGTGGGGGTAGATGCAGTGGAAGCCGTCGAATTGGCACGGGGCACACCATGCGAAGTGGAGGGCTGAGGGGTGGTACCGGCAGCCTTGACGACCCGGTTCTTCTTCTCGGCACGCTTGAGGAACCGCCTGTTGAACTGGCGCCAATCGATCTGCCCGCCCTCCTCCTCCTGCAACTCCTTCTCTTCTTCGACGGCCTCGTTGTACTCCTTGGCCAGCCGGGGAGTCGCGAGCACCTCCTTGGCCTGGTTGAAGTGGATGAATGTGTCGTGACTGCCGTGCTTGTCGGGATGATACCAGTCGGTGACCTTCTTGGCAGCACGGAGGACGTCGCCTCGCGTCGTCTTCTCGCCGGGGAGGAAGCCGAGCGCCACGCGGAAGTCACAGTCGAGAGGATCAGGACACGGACGGCGGGAGATGTGCCACCTGTCTTGCTGCCGGCGGACAAAGTCCTCCCTTGCATGCTCCTCAGACACGCCGAACTGGCGCCGGAAGAAGTTGGCGGTGGCTTGCATCTTGCAAATGAACGCAGGCAAGTCACGGAAGTCCCGTGCCGAACGGTCACCTGCGGAATTCCTATCACCCACACGTTTAACGGGACACTCTAGGGCCCTCCTTCTTTGAGTCGATCAGGCGTGTATGCACTCGTCAATCTATTCAGTTGCTACGTCTCCCTCCGTCCCTCTGCGTTGCTAGATAGATGGATGGCTCTACCTACGTCTATCAGGCCGGTCGCCTCAGCCGCCAGAGGTGTGGGTGGCTCCTGCTCGTGTAGGCCAGCTTGTCGCCATGCATGTAAAGGAACTTCGTCAAAGCCTCCAGACACTGGATCGCACCACCATAACCCTACACACACACACACACACACACACACACCACGGCACACCCACGTGCAGATCAGCAGATGGCTTTCCCGGTGCATCAGCAGCCTGTCTGTCCCGCTCATAGTACCGCGTCTGAGAGTGTGCTGATCAGTCTGGCGTATGTCTCCAGCAGCCGGGGGTAGACGTCGCTCAGGTCGTCGTAATACCCCATCGTGTCGGCGCTGTGGGGAACCAAACTGACGACAAATCCACATACACGCAGACACCACACATGAACACAAGCACTCAATGGCGATAAGGGTGGCTGTTGGGTCGGTTGGTCGGTCTTCCTCACCCACCCACCCTGTGTTGCAGATGAAGTCCGTCGCCTGGCCGACGTCGGAGTTCTCGTGCGCCATGACCAGCGCCTCGCGCACCTTCCTGCTGTGCACCACCGTCTCCCACAGAGACTCGACTATCTGTTAGATACACAACGAGCAGGACACACCACATTACACCCACATGAATGCATGTCTGTGTGTGTGTGTGTGCGTATGGGTTCCCTTCTCCCCCGTTGTTTGCTCACGCACGTGGTATTCGGCCCTCTTGTTGCTGTATATGCGGTAGAATTTGTCGATCTCCGCCGCTTCCATGGCCCTGGCCGCCAGGATCTCAGATGCAGGTGGCGGTGCGGCGGTGGTGCCAGTGGTGGTGATGCCCATGGGTCGGTAGCCGGGGTTGCCGGCGGTGCGGAGGCTCCACAGGTCGTCCTGACGATATGCCTCGCGCAGCAGGGGAACCACCTCGTTGTGCCGGCCGCACACGTGCAGCAGCTTCATCGACACAGAATACATCCCCTGTGGCCATCCAATCCACACACATACACAACGGAACAGTCCAATCACACCCACCCCGTATTGTGCTGCCTCTCTTCTGCACCCAAGCCCCACCTGTGCCTGGAACTCAGCTGCGGCCGTCAAGCACAGCTCCTCAAACTCCTGGGCAGACAGCAGGCTGGTCGTGGCGGATGGCTCCCCCTCCCCCTGCCCCTCCCGTCCGCCCCGCTGCACCACGGTCCATCCCGCATCGGCCCTGGGCGGCACCACAGCCTCCACCAGCGCCCCCTGGACGAACCTGCCCTCCTCATCCACCTCGCCGAACAGGTCTGCAGCTGTGGTTGTTCCCTCCGCTGAGCGAAGCGACTCGGTCAGCAGGGTGCGCATGTGGGCCTTCCTCGTCTCGGGGTCCAGCACCTGATGCGATGCATCCACACCAAACGACGTGTGTGGAGGGGGGATGGGGCGTGTGTGGAGGCTTGGCTTACCTGGATGAAGTTGAGTTGTGCCCGTGCGTCGTAGTGCTGTATCTCGTCGATGAGGAAGTCGCCGAGGACGAGTGTGCGGTCGCCCTCCACCGCCCGCAGAGGGCCGCTGCCGCTCAGCAGATGGTAGGGGGACAGGCTCAACGCCATGTACAGCACCGCATGCTGACATACATACCATACCATAGATAGGACATCAACACACACATGGTGAGGCATGGCATGGCATCCCATTTCTGCATTCACTCACTGCTGAGTGAGGCAATCGCACGGCACCCACCTTGAGTTGTTTTGATTCGTCGCGCATCCATGTGAGTGCGTCAGTGATGCGTAGCGTCATGAGCAGCGCCTTGGCGTAGGCCAGGGGGGCCACCCGACCGCCCCCCGCCGCCCTCGGCTGCGCACCAGACCCGAACAGACCTTGACCCACCCCAGCTGCTGCTGCTGCTGCAGCCGGCCTGCCACCATAGTAACCACCACCTGACCATGCACACCTCACACGTGGGCAAATGAGCACAGCAATTGAGTGTGATGGTGTCTCTCTCTATGTCATTTGGCGCACCGTATCCGTTGGCATCATACGGCTGGTATGGCTGGTCATAGTAGCTGCCGTAGCCGTAGCCGTAGCCGTACTGCGGCCCTCCCATGCCCATGCCCATGCCCATCTGTGCTGCAGACGGTGGCGGGGGTGGTGGTGGAGGTGCCTGCTGCTCTCCGCTGAAGTGGTGGGCCGGCAGCTTGGCCACCTTGGCCCCCGTGTCGGCCAGCTTGTCGAGGAATCGCTGGCTGCGGATGGACTTGTGCAGCTGATACCAGATCCAGTCGGTCGCCGTCCCCTGACACACACGCACAGAGGAGTGGGGAAGGAATGGACCATGGACAAATGGATGGATGGATGGATGAATGGATGGGTGGGCGGTGGAGGTGCGTGCCGACCTGCTCCCAGTTGGCGAATGAGAATGTGAGTCCCGCTGAGGATATGGCGGTGAGCAGCCGCTGCTCGTGCGAGTGCCCCTCCCCTCCCCGGCCCTCAATGGCCAGCTCGGCGTGGCGCTTAGCGTCCTGGTAGCGGCGAGCTGACACACACACACACACACACACGGGCACACAGGCATACACACACACTCCTCTGTGTCTGTCTGTGTGGTTGACCGCGATTGTGTTCTGCTGCCTACATTCAGCCTTTTCGCGGCTCTTGGCCCGCCATGGATGGTCGCCATACTGACCCCAGAACGGCTCTGCACCCACAGTGGACACAGACAGACAGACAGACAATTTGCTGGGGTCGTGTCTTGTGTTGTGTTGCTTGTCTCTCTCTGTGTTGGCCTGGCCTGGCGTGCGTACCTTCTCCCGGCTGTGGCAGGTCAAGTGTGCCCGTGGCGGTGTCGAGCGTGGCGGCGAAGAAGGCACAGACCACCTCGAAGTAGTCGGGCCTCCCGTGGACCAGAGACGGCATGTCATACAGCAACTGCACACACAAATGGCATGGATCAAGTCGGTGTGAACAGACACATGCATGGCGTCCCCCTCTCTCTCTACCTGCACAAACCCAGCCCTGGCTGCGCAGTAGGCGGCGAGCCAGTAGTCGTCAGACCGGCTGGGGAAGGAAACGTCACCCCGCACTGTGCGGCCATACGCCTACGCACACACACACACACACACACACGTGCGCCCACACAGGTGTCCACAGCAAGTCGTCCCCCAAGGTTGCCTGCCCTGCCCTCTGTGCCCCCCACCCCATACCCACCTTGATGAACTCCCACGGATCCTCCCGCCCGCCCCACATGGCCTCTCTCGGTCTGTCTGAGATGGTCTTGCGCATGGCCTGGCGGAACTGGTCCTCCAGGTAGTTGATCGACCCGCACACCATCGCCTTGACGCACTCGTCATGGCTCGCCTCGCCGCCCAGCAGGCTCCGCTTGCCGGCATGCAGTTCGTGGTCCAGGATGTCGAAGCACTCATCCACGTCGCGGATCAGCGCGGCATCGCTGATGCCCTGCTGCGCGTCGGGGGGTTTCCCGAGAGCATCTCGCGTGATGCTTCGGATCCTGCCGAATTTGGCGTAGGGGTGGTCGCGGGGAGAGAGGAGGGTCTCGATGACTTGGCGGTCGGGGGCGCAGATGAGCCGCTGCCGCTCCAGAGGGGGGGAGGATCGCTGGCGAAGACGGGCGGACGGGGGACCGCTGCGCACACACACAGCAGGCCCATGCACATCAACACAGGTGACACGAACACATGCATCATACATAGATTCGCCTTACCCGAAGAGGCTTGCGGCATCGGCCGATTCCATGAAAGCTCCCTGCTGCTGGTCCCTGGGCAGCCCCAGCCGCTGCTTGATGGCCTCCCTCTCCCGCTGCCACTCGTCCATCATCTTCTGGTGCGACGCAGCCGCATGCCGATTCCACGCCTCCTTGTTGGCCTCCTCATACTGCTTCAGCAGCAGCGCGTCGTGGTGACTCTGCAGATGGGCCAGCAGGTTGGTCGACGGCAGCCCACTCGCACGCCCGACCACCGCCGCCGCTTCTCTCTCCTCCACAACCTTGGGAGCCACCAGATTAGCCAGATCTAGGCCGCGGATGTGTCGCTCGACATACTCTGCGGGCGGTGTGCGGAGGAGGGCGGGCAGATCCTCGCCGTATTGGAGAGTGGGCGGCGGTGTGCGCCGCTGGAGGGCCTCGGCAGCATCCTGCAGCTGTGAGAGTGTGGTGACGTGCATTCTGCTGGTGCCGTGGAAGCCGGGGAGGACCTGCTGCAGCCGCCGCGCCATGCCGATGGCATGCTCCAGATCTTCCTTCGCCATGACGCGAGTTGATGAATTGACTGTGTGGCGAAGCTGATATTGACACCACCACCGGGCATAGGAAGCTCGAAGCTCGCGAAACCCTGAACCCTACTAGGAACCCTATGAGAGGAGGGTTCGAGGGGTGGATGCTCAAGCCAGCCACGCCGTAGAAGTGATTGAGTAGAGCCATGCCCCGTGGGGGTGACGACCGCCCCGTTCACGGCTACTATGTCATCTGCGAGGGCCTCGCCGGCGAAGTCGCAGACGACGAGGTCAGTGGGGAGGGAGGGAAACTACACCGCCGCAGCAGCTCCCGTGCGCATTACCGCTTCAAGTTGCTGCCGGTGGCTGTGTGTGTGTGTGTGTGTGTGTGTGTGTGGCACAGGAAGCGGAGGAGAAGACGGCGAGGGTGCAGCACTTCAGGAGCAGGAAGGCGGCTGTAGATGCGGTACGTGGAACGAACGCACTACGCGGCGAGTTCTGGCCATCCTGCATGCCATCAGCATATGGCATCACTCTGTCCATGGTGTGTGTGTGATGTGGTCAGGTTGTGTTGTGTCTGCCTGGGTTCCGGAGCAGGATAGAGAAGGCAGTCAGGAACAAGCCGCCGTCCAGGGAGTACGCATTCACCAGCGGCGGATCGCAGAGGAAAGTCATCATGGGTGAGTGAGTCAGTCGATGGATCCATCGAGGGAGGGAGGCCTCCACGCACAAGGACCAATGAATGGATGGATGGATGGACTGGGTCATTGAGAGACACCGAGTGTGTCTGTTTGCTGCTGTGTTATGTATCTATCGTCCGTCCAGGTCCCATCATGTATGAGGACGAGAATGACGAGGAAGAGGAGGAGGAGGAGCAAGGTCCTGGCGGCCACCCACACCGACTCGCCAACGAGCCTGCGTGTGTACCTGTACCTGTGCGTGTGTGTGCAGGTGAGGTAGAGGACGAGGAGGGCATGGAGCAGCATGACGACGAGGACCTAGAGGACCACATGCAGCACCAGCATGAGGAGGGGGAAGAGGCCCAAGAAGAGGAGGAAGAGAAACGTACACACGCAGAGCAGCCACACAGCCACACATCCACGCCACGCGTCATGAACGGCAAACAAATATCCACATAGACTGCACCCTGTCTGTCTATGTGTGATCGGATGGATGCATGCATGGGTCAGCTGCCCCCGCCAAGGCCAAGCCGAAGCCGCGGGGCGGCAAAGCGGCCGCCGCCAGGGTCAAGGGCAAGGCCAAGCCCAAGGGCAGGCCGCGCAAGGCCAAGGCCAAAGCCAAACAGGAGGAGGAAGAGGAGGAGCAAGAGTACGTAGAGGATGAAGGTAGGTAACACACCACACACACACCACACACACAGCCGATCCGGTAAATGGGTGCCACTTCCTGGTGGGTCTGTCCTGCAGAGCATATTGCCGAGGAGGAAGAGGAGGGCGGTGAGGTCCGCGGGCGCGGGAGGGGTCAGGCGGCGGCTGCTGCAGCTGCTGCGGCTGCCTCCGGCCCCCTGCCGCAGAAGCGTCGCGTTCCTCCTGCTGACAAGGAGCCCGAGGCGCCCAAGAAGAAAAAACAGGCCAAGCTCAAAGCACAGGTGGGCAGGACGGGTGTGTGGCGGGGTGGGCGAATGACTCGACCCACCACCGTGCCACCGCACCGCACCTTTCTGTGTGTGTGTATGCAGGAGGCTGCTGCTCTGGATGAGTACGGTATGGATGAGGGGGAGGACGAGAGGCTGCGTGCCGCCCAGCAGTGGGCCCAGGGGGAGGCGGAGAGGCAGCTCATGGAGGGGGGCAAGCTCTCCACCGTGGATGCCATCAGTGCCACATTCAGAACACGACCTAGTGAGGGAGGACGATGGCCGACCAACCCTTACACACATACACATACACACACGCACAGCAACTGCCGCATTCGTGCGTGTGTGGCTGTCTGTCTGTGTCTGTTAGAAGCGACTGCGATGTCGTTGTCGGCGGTGTTGCGCCACACCAGTGAGGATGTGTTGCGTGAGGTGTTGTCTGCGTGGGGATGGGCGGGCGGGGAGTCGGTGGACGACATGGACGAGAAGGAAATCCGCAAGATTTGCACCACACACATGCAGAGACGTACGCCACACACCTGCGATGTGTGTGAGCTTCAGTGGGTCGGCAGTGAGGGAGGGAGGGAAGGCATATGTGTGTGTCTTGTGTGTGTGTGTGTGTAGTTGCTAGCGAAGTGCCGTTTGTGAACAAGCCCCACCCGAAGGAGCCGACGAGGGGGCTGCTCGAGTACCTCAACAAGTACTTCTCCAAGCTGGCACAATACGCACAGGAGAACCTGCAGCAGCACTGACTGACTGACACCCACCACACGAACGAACCCACAGGTCAGATCCGATCCCTCACGAGAAGAAAGGAAGGCGATTGAACTCTCTCCCTCCCTCCCCCCGACATGTTCCTTCTTTCGTTGTCTGTTGTCAGGTGTTGGTTGCGGCCTTCGCGTAGATTAGCCGACACTGACCTGTCTGTCCGTCTCTCTTGGGTGTGGCTGATGCATCAATTGGATGAATGAATGAATCAATCAATGCCTGACGCATTTTTCCCTCCCCAGTACGCAACCAACAGACAGACAGACAGACAGACAGAGAGGCAGACAGACGTCTTCGTTAGCATTGATGGATGGATGGAGGATGGGTTGACCTGCGGGGTGCTGTCTGTCCATCGAGAGCGCTAGGAGTATGTTGCATGTATAGTACACACACACACACACACACACACACAAACAGAGTACTACACGGATGCACGGGGACATACACAGAGACCATGGATAGGTGCATGCTGGCCTCTGCCCACATGGAAACGGTGAATTGAATGAATGCATCACACGGATCACTGTGTGAAGGGTCTGATGGCCTCGAGAGCAGACCGCAGCTCAGCCCCGCGACGACGCTCGACCTGAACAAGGTCAACTCACCGACACACACACACACATACAGCCCGCCCAGCTGGCTCCTCTCCTTCACTGACCTCCATGGCCATCTTTTCCGCATCTCGCTCTTGTTCCAGTCGCCTGATGTACGCCTGCGTCTCCTGATTGATACACCCACAGTGTACGGCGACAGACATTGGTATATCGGCTCATGTCAGTCAGCTTGTCTCACCTTGCTGGTGAGCTGGTCTTCCACGAGTGATTTCCTCCTCTCAGTGCGGTCCAGCGGGCCACTCGCCGCCTGCTGCTCGACCAACTCCCACAGTTTCTGACACAATACACACAATACACACACCGCTGACATCGTGTCTCCTCTGTCACTGCGTAGAGGATTGACCGCGTAGCGTACCACAGCGGCCTCCCTCAGTTGGTCAACAGACATGCGCCTGAGTGTCCGCTCCCACCCGCTGTCAGCCAGGTCTACACGCGTCGCGGGAGGTGGGTTGACCACATGTGTGTCGAGGAAGCTCTGCGCATTCCACTCCGGCTGCTGCTGCTCTACAGGCGATGCATCTGCAGCCCCGTCTGCGCTTGTCTCAGCGACTGTGGTCGGCGAGACATCCTCCGGATTGTAGCTGTCCCACATCTCATCATCTTCTTCAGCCTCCGGCCCCTCGGCCTCCTGGTATGCTGTCTTGTCGAGTGTCTTCGACGCCGATCGGCAGAAGCTCGATAGTTGCCGGAGGGAGGGGACCTTCCTGATGGTGGCGGCTGACGGCACTGCCGCAGTCGACTCGACGCCCTCGAAAAACTCATCCGTGCCCATCTGCGCACACGGGAAGACACACAGACAGCCATCGATCCGTTCAGCCATTGTTCACCGAACAGTGCATGGCTGACTCTTTTGAGTGGCTGGGCAGTGGTGGGTGGCATCTGCTGTGTGCTGGGCGGCGGGCTGGGGACATATTGTGTGTCGAGTGGCGGCTGTGGCTGCGTGAGTTGGGCAATGAGCCACTGAGGCTTGTGAGATGCCGGAATGACGTACGAACGCACTCCTCGCTGACACGAAGAGTTCACATGACACACAACATACATCGCCATGGCTGCCCTTGCGCTGCACTCACTCACCTTGACAGAGACGGGGTAGACGCCGGCTTCGCAGTCCTGGATGAGGCGGCACAGGTGGTTGCAGCCCTCCAGCAGATGCAGCAGATGCTCCCGGCCCGCCCGCAGCTCGCCGTCCTTCCTCTCCTCGTATGCGGCCACGTCGCTCACAAACGATTCGACCTCCTTCTTGCGGCTCTCCAGCAAAGCCTCACACTCATCTCTGTGGAGACAGACAATGACAATGGTGCGTGGACAGATGGATGTGTCTCCCGGATGCTGTGTACTTGCCTCATAGCTTGCATGTCTTTGTTATGGTGAGTGAGTCGGTTGAGCTTGGTGGCCATCATGTCCTCATCGTGGGCCTCAAGTGTGCCGCGGACGGCCTCTCCCTCTCTGTGTGTCAGGTTCGCGCACACAAACATAGATACATACATGTGTTGTGTGTGTGTCTTGTGGTGTCGATCTCCTCTCTCTGGCTCTCACTCACTCTTTGGCCATGTGCAGGCACTCCCTGAGGCATGCACGCAGGCTGTCCTCCTGCCCTCCCGCAATCGTCAGGTGCCTGCACACACACACATTCATCCATCCATCCATGCCCCTGTTTCTGAAGCAGGTAGGTACCTTTGTGTGTGTTTTAGTGTGCGTTGTATGTTGCTGTCGACGGTCTCCTGCATGTGTCTCAGCTCACGCTCGTGCTGCATCACCTGGCTCGCCACCCGCTGCCGCAAACTCTTCTTTTCGCCCTCATGGCCCACCAGCCTGGTACGCATCTCAGACACCTTGTCGTGGTGCTCCTGTGCGAGCCTCTCAACCATCTCGTTAAGCTCCTCAGCTTTCTGGTCAGCTACACGACACCTCTCTGTCGACACAACACAACACAACACAACACAACACAACACAACACAGCACACACGCCTGGCTGTGTCTGCTCTCTCCATATGCTCCTCCCTAGTGCGCACCTGTCTCCTTGTGTATGTCTCTGATGGCATTTGAATGCAGGAAGCTGAGGAGGCTGCGGACGTTCCTGCTCCTCAGGAAGTCCTTCTGCAGGGCGTGCTTGCCCTCAGCCGGCAAAGTCTCGTATGCCGCCAAGGTCGGGCTTGGCCCCAGGGCTCCCTCCAGCACCTCTTTCCGCTTCTCACGCGGTGGCTCAATGTCGTCAGGGGGCGGCTCGGTGTCGTCCAGGTCGCTCCGAGACATAAGGGCCGTGTACAGGCCCTCGAAGCGAGATGGCGGCAGGTCCAATACACCCTGAGTGTGTGTGGGAGACACGGACATGGGTGTGTTGTTGAGGGAGGAGAGGGGTTGTGTTGTGTTGTGTGTATTGACCTGCCTGATGGCATGCTTGTTTTGTTGTAGCGCGTTCTTGAGCGATTCGATCTGCTCGGTGAGTTCCCTGACCTGCCGCTCCTGGGCCGACTGCTGCTGGTCGACATAGTTGACGGTGGGCCTGTTTCGGATGTTCTTGCAGCGGTCCGCAAAAGCCAAGGAATTCAGACACTCCTGTAGACAGACAGCACAGAGAGACACGAGAGGCTGCCGTGCACTGTATGGTGGGGGTGTTGCTATGGGTGCGTGCCTCGTAGTTGTCTTCGATTGGGTAGAGGCATGTGAGGAGCGATGTGTATGAGTTGCCGCCCAGGCTGTTCTGTAGGATGCGCGTCAGCTTCGAATCACGATACGGGATGTGCCGAGCCGTGCGGGAGTCCTGCAGCCGACCACACCACACAGACACACTGTCTGGGTGTGTGTCTGTGTGTCTGTGTCTATGGCTTTGAGATCGATCTACCTGTGCGAGTGCGAGGACGACTTTGCCGAGTGCGCTGAGTGAGGTGTTGATGATGACCGCCTCCTGGAAACGCCGACCCTCCGACCTGACAGACAGACACACAATCATCCACACGAAGTGACGGGAATTACCGTCTATTGCGACGTTGGAGGTGGCTGACTTGCTTTTTGCGATTCTCTCAGATCCCGCGAGGTCGACCAGATTCATGGTCCCACTCAAGACATCTCGGTCGGGGTTGCTGATATAATAATGGACCGGCCGATGTATGAAACATGTGTCAATCAACCGACTGTGTGCGTACCGTTGGTCTCTCTGCACCACGTTGATGGCGAATATGGTGTGTGATCGGGACGAGTTGGCATTCAGCCGCGTCTCGTACGTGGCGCGCATCTGAACACCGCAGTTGACGATGTCCAGCACCTGACCGACACACACGTCCACGAACGAATAAGCAATAAATACACCGGCCGAAAGACACCACACCACACCACACACCTGTGCGATGTTCCTGACAGGTATGAGATTGAGCCCCTTGACATACACTTGGCCAGACGGCGACTCATGGATCGTCAAGTTCTGCGTCTCATACCCATCGAAGAAGTCACGAGCACCTCCCGCATCCATCACGGCAGCCTCGGACATCCGGGGACGGCCAGTACTCAGCGCGGTGTCGTCAGGAGTTGTGGTTGGGGGTGGAGCTGCTACTGTGGCGCGTCGCATGGACGACTCGGTGAGCGATGTATTGCGCCAGGGGGCTGACTGGGGTGTCTTGGGCCGGGACTTGGCGCCACCGATTGATGCACGTTGAGAGGCAGGGGCTTCCTCTGTCTCCTTTTTGTGGAGGTAGGCCCGCCCCAGATCTCGCACTTGGTCCAAGTAGATTTCCAAGAAACTCACCACCATTCCCAGCTCCTGATAGAATTAAGATGAACGACAAACAGAGACACAGTGTTTGTTTTGATCGGCCCGCCCTCCCTATGTTTCATATGCCTGTTGTCTGGCTTTCTTTTCGAGCCTTTCAAAGAGGTACTCGATTGCCCTGGGGAGGATGCCCCGCCGCTCCCCGTTGCCCTCCCCAAATATCGAGTAGGTCTTGCCGCCTCCCGTCTGCCCGTAAGCGAAGCAGCAGCTGTTGAAACCACCTGCACACAAGGAAGTTCAACAACCATCGATGAGACGCCGTCTCTTGCCCTGTCTCTCTTTGTGGCTGGGCCTACTGAGCATGTGGTCGACAAGCGGCTTTGCCACATCCACAAAGACCTCATGCTGCATGCACATCCACACAATGCACATCCACAAAGCATCACGCATGCAGCGCACCCGCGTGATCTCCTTGCACCTGGTTGGCTTGGGGCAAGAAGACTTTATTGAATGTATATTGGCACCTGGCCTCCTTCCGCACTGGGCTGGGGTGTGCGGGGTCCACTATGGACACCGAGTTGCGGTCCTCTGGGCTGATCTTGAACAGCCGCTCGAACGACAAGGGGTCGTCAGGCGGCCGGAATCTGAGCATCACCTGGATCTCAGACCCTGCTGTAGTCTTCCGTCGCTCCATGTCAATGCCTGCCATCCTGTTCGCGACGATGACTGGGGGCGCGGTCTGCCGCCCCCACGAGGCGGGCAAGCTAAGCGCGCACTGGCAGAGGTAAAGGGGAAGAGAAATGGCGAAGGCGGTGCAGCAGATGCGCTATCTCCTCCGGGAGCTGACACTGCGTGAGGGCTACGAGCTGGACAGGTGTCTGACACGCGTCCTGGAGGCCGTGCAGAGTCCTCAAGACAGGGCCGTCGCGCAGAATGTCGGGCTGTTCCCCATCCTGGCGCGGCAGTTCCTCATAGGCAGCGAATGGCTGCGGCAGCTGCTCATCCTCAAGATACTCATCACCTTCGAAGACAACCAAACCAGCAGAGAGGAGCTTGGGTAAGCGGATGGGCGGTGAGGGGAGTGTGGTATGGCACAGGCAGGCCTTTTGCACTGACGAATGCCTTCCCATGGTCACCATGCTGTCTGCAGGACGCGGTTCAACTTTGTGCTTGTCGGTCTTTCTCACCTGGGGGAGCTGGCCCGCTGCCTCTCAGACAAGGGGGGAGTCGGTCAGCTCTCACGCCGCCTGCCTGCCTTGTGAATGCATTGCCGGCATTTCTGTGTGTGGTCGTGTCTTACCATCAGGTCGTCTGTTTGCGCCTACCGGCGGTACCAAGGAGAGTGAGGTGTTGGAGGATTTGCTCATCTACTGGCTCAACTTCCTGGCTGTCCTCACACGAGACGATAAAACAATCACACACACAGGTGGGGAAGGAGAGGAGAGCGGAAGGGGGGCTGTCTAGGTGTGTCTGGCAACTAACGTGAGACATATTGCATTTTGATCGATCAATGCAATGCAGCCAATGTGTATTCTGATCCTGCGTCAAACTTCTCGCGGACAAATCCCTTCGAAGGCACCTCGGCTGTCATGGTAAGCGAATCAATCGCCTAGTCGACCACAGAAGCACCAGCTGGCTGACGGCTGGCCTCTCCTCGTGAACAGCGACATTTGGCGGCCGAGAAGACGGGAGCGAGCAACGCGTCCCTGACGATCGTTTGCCACGTGGTGGCCAACCTCCTCACCAACAACATACTCGCAAGGTGCGATCGATGCACGAGACACCTGGGCGTTGTTTGGATGGCCATTTGTATGTCAGGGCGATGGTTGTTGAGCCATCGAATGTTGAGGTGCTGGCCACACTCATGGAGAGGAGGGAGGCCACTGTTGGTAAGTTGACTGACTGGTCTTCCTCCAATCTCTTCTCTCAACCTATCCATCTGTCTATCTGTCTATGTCCGCACCCAACACATACAGATCAGTATGTGCAGCTGTTCAACATGGTCAGTGCCTTGGCATCGCAGCACCTCCTCAGTGTCTGCCACGGTGCGAACAGACACACATACCTGGGCCACTCGCGAGCAAGGGCACGATTCCAGGTTGCCTCTTTCATTTGCAGAGACCCCTCCGACAACCAAGGCGCCGCAGCACCCTGTGCTGGCGCTAGTTGACAATTTCTACAAGTGAGCCAGCCAGCACATTCATTCACCGATGCCTTTTCTGAGGCGAGTATCCATGCCCTCGGATTCTTCCATCTCAGGGTGTTGCACGCGATGGTGTCTGGTCTTGGCATCTGGAAGGCCCCTGTGGAGACCAACCAGCTGCCGCCTCCCCAGGTGCGTGCCTTGGCCTGCCGTCAGCTGTGCAGGGCTTGGAGGAGGGTGGCCACGTGCGAACCAAGGCTGCAGGAAGTGAGCACCTCAACCCGACCGCAGCGAGACATGGTGACTTCTGCGATGTTCTGTGCACCATGCAGCACTTGCGCGACATTCTTGCGCTGGTTGACGTGTCCCTGCCGGCCATCTGCACCACAGCCGCCATGGCCAAGGACTTCGAGTGCGTCAGGGCCGCTATCGCAATGGTCAGTTGCGACGACAGTTGTCTCTCTGCGTGTGAATGTACCTGTCTCTCATCGATTCATCCAGGCAGCGGGCTTCCTGTCGGTCTACATCAACGAAGACAGTGTGTCGCAGGCAGGAGGGTGCGTACACTCAATGCATTCACACATGAACGATGTGCGCGTGTGTGTGTTTTCCGCTGGGCGGATGCAGCGTGGTGGAGATGTGCTTCCGCCAGTACTTCCAAATCAAGCCCATGCAAGCAGACCTGGTTGGTATTTGTGGAAGACGGCACGTGTCTCTCTCTGCTTGAGGACAGTTTGTTGCTGTGCGTCCAGTGCTGTCTGCTGGAGGTGGTGCCCCTGGCCAGCTTCCAAGCGAGGCCAATACTGAAGGAAGTGCTCAAAACGTCAGTCAGTCACCACTTCCATCTACGCACAAACAATAGCTGAACGAAAATTCGGGGTATCTATCTCTTATGCTCAGCGTGGCGACGACGAAGCGTGGATTGATGGAGTCGGCTCTGCTGCCCTCTCTCCTCCGTGTGTGTCGCCGTTTCGCGGCACAATACCCGGAGAGCCTGGCGCAGCAAGTGCTGGAGACCTTCCTCCGCACATTGCAGGCAGGCAGGCTAGACTGACCTGACCAGACAGACACACGGCAGATATGGTATGCACACCACACGTGCCTCTGTGTGCCTCTGTGCGCAGGGGTTGCGTCTCGAGTACGACAACCTGCCCTACTGCAGCTTGCTGTATGTCTTTCTGTGTTTCCTGTACCAAGACATACCGCCATCGAGATACGCATTCCCTAAAGACCTCGACTCATTGCTCTGCGTGGTCAGCCAGGCAAAGACACCACCCAAGGCAGAGCAGGGCAAACATATGGAGGGTGGACACATGTACACCTCTGTTTGTTTGTGTCGCACTCAGACCTTTGAGCGTCTTCTGGACTGGCTGGGACACAACGGAGGTGAGGAAGCAACACTCACTCCGGCGAGTGTGCAATTCCGTCTGTCTCTCTCCATCCCTCAGGAACATTCGAAGTCACATCTCTCGACCAGATGAGACGTGAGGGGGAGAGAAATGCTCATCCCATCTCCCCTGATGATGTGATGTGCGTGTGTGTGCCTGTAGTGCTTAAGACGCAGGCGCGTGTGGCACACAAGAAGATGCAGCAGGCAGCATCGGCAGACACAGGCAGCCCCAGACGACCACCTGCAGGACTCGCAGGTAGACAGACAGACACACTAACTGGCCATCACACCCCCAGCACTTTTTTGTGTGTGTCTGTCAGATCGCGACGCAGCGTCATCTGAGGAGGAGCTGGAGTTCAGGGCCACACTCGACGGGCCGCCAGGAGGTACGCATCCATGCCAAATGGAGACAGACATAGAGACGATCCATCCTTTGCCTACAGCGCCATCAAGTGCGCCGCCCCAGGTAGCAATCCCATCGCTTGGAGTGGGAGGGCAGCCTGCCCCGACTGCTGCTGGTGGCGGCGTGTGGGTTGGTTTGTCGCCCGAGCTGACACTCGAGATGGAACTCAAGCTGATCAACCTACTTAAAGATCTCGCACAGGTAGGTATCCCATGTCTCACCTACCGTGTGTGGATGGATGGACGGACTTGTTGGTTGCAGTGTCTGTTGGTGCTGGACAAGCCCCCCATCCCCAAAGAGATGAAGGAGATGCGCACCAAGACCCCCAAGGGAACCCCTCAGACCAAGCTGCAGGCCAGCAAGGACAGCAGCAAGGGGCGGCCGCAGGCCAAAGACTCCCCGACTGCCGACTATCGCGTCTTTGACGAGATGCTGACCAAGACAGCCAATGAGCTGGGCATGATGCAGGCAACCGGAAAGGTGAGCCGATAGCACCGTGTGAGAAAGTGAGGAGACGTGTGTGTGTGTGTGTGTGTGTGGTGGCCTCCAACCATTCCAGACGGCGTCTCCGAGGTCTCCCGCCGTGCCGATCCCTGAGAGCACGGCGGATGACGAGTCGTTGCGGCCGATGCACATCGAGTCTGAAGCCTTCAGGGGCGTCAAGACTCCCGTCACCGGTGGGTGCACACACACACACACAACACACACAACACACACAACACAATCGACCGTTCGTCCATTCTCCTTTTCCAGAGGCGGGTCAGCAGGAGGACACAGCACAAGACCTGCCAACAAGAGAGGCCACCCTTGAAGCCGTGGCGCGTCTCGAGAAGACCAAGGTCAGACTGGACACCAGCCAAAGCGCTGCCAGGAGTCAGGCTGTCAGCCCCCGCAGCGAGGCGCCATCTGGTGAAGTCTCTGGTGGGTCTGCCTCGGGCAGCAAGGCCACCGGGGGGGCGGAGGGCGACGAGGAGGATGAAGACGCTGCCACCACCACGCAACGGCGCTTCGTCCTGGTGACGTCGCCGCGCATTGGGGACAAGACATCGGCCTTTCTCAGAAGGTGTGGCGAGAAAAAAGTGAAGGGCAGGGCAGGTGTAGCTGTGTTAGTGTGTGACGTTGTCTCGTGCAGACATGGGTGTTTCATGTTGACCACACATTGGGCGCACGCACTACGGGTACGGTACGGATAAAGGTATATGAGACCCTATCTCTTTAGCGCGTTGCGTTGCTCCTCTGTGTCTGTCTCAGGTGTGTCTGCGGTCTCTCTGGCGCGAGAGCCTTCCCCTACCCCCAGACCGCCTGCTCGTCCTGGTGCGCGTGTGCAGCCACCCATCCATCTCATCTCCTCACCTCTCTCCGTTCATGTGTGTACATCCATCCATCAGGCCATTCTCAAGCGTGTCGTCATGTACCGCCCCGCCCAGCGGGGCGTCCGTCGCCCCCCAACCGGCACCCCACTCTCCGTCAGCATGTCACACGCCCTCGGAACCGGCCCCCGCACACAGCACCTCTCACCCAGAGCAGCACACGCAACCGAGGGTGGAAGCGGCGCCGCGACACCCGCCTCAACGACCATGCGGGCCTCCATCTCTGCGGCAGAGACCATCCGAGTCCTGCAGGTCTTCCTGCTCTCCTGCCAGCGCAGCAGCCCTTTCCTCCGGGTGCTGGTGGCCCCCGCACCATTCCGCCTCTTCTGCCGCCTGTCGTGCCAAATCATGGAGGTCGACACCACACGGCCGCCCCTGGTCGCCCTGCTCCTCAAGACGCACATATCCATCGCACACCACTGGCCGGCGGCGTACAACGAGATTGCGGTAGCGGCTGAGCTGTCGAAGGTGCAGGGGGGCGGGATGGGTGGGAAGGGTGTGGTGCTCGGGGGAGGGTTGGCCAAGAGAAAGAGCGTGGCGTTCGGTGGTGAGGAGAGTGAGAGTGCAGATGTGTACGGCGGGCTGGGGGAGAGTGAACGTGGGAGGATTGCTGCCTGTGCGCTGGAGTGGCTGTTCGACCAGCCGGTGAGACAAGAGGGAAGAGATCGGGGGGTGAAAGATGTCTGTCTCATGGGAGAGGGGTGCATGTCTGTCATGTTGCAGGTGCTGCATGTGATTGTGCTGACTGTCTCCACGTGGGTGTCCAACTCACCCTCCATGAAACAAGTGTGTGGAACGAACGCCACACTCATCCACACAACACAACACACATTGATTGATCAATGGGTCTGTGTGTGCATGTCTGCAGGTGTTGCTGACCAAGGGCATGTTCAAGTCGTTCAGCCACATCATCCCCGTCCTCATCCGCCAAAAGGCCGCATCCCTCCTCACAGTCACCATCTTCGTGGCATACGTCGCACTCTCCGACCCCCAAGGCACCCTCCCTCCACCGCCCCTCCCCCCTCCCCCTCACAAACCCAAGCGCCCCTCCCTCGGCCCCAAAGCCAAGTCTGCCAGCCGTCAGCAGCTGGACGCCCCCCTCCTCGGACCAGTGGCACCACCCATCACCCGACTCCCGTCACCCAAAGCCCAGGACTCCTCCTCTGCTTTGGTGTCGGCTTTCCTGCAGCAGCCTGCTTCCAGGGAGCGGAAGGTGATGCTGGGGACGCCGCAGAGCGGCCTGAGCCGGGCGTCCAGCCGTGGGAGCGACAAGATGCCGGAGGTGAAGATGCCGTGGCATGAAGAGGTGGAGGCGTTTCTTGCTGCGGTGCTGCCCTTCGCGCGTCACCTGCCGTATCCCGCATTGGCTCTGACGCTGCAGCTCGTCCGTGTGCCGAAGCTCGAGCCATTTATGAGAGATGGTCGTTTCATGACGGCCCTGCTGAGTCTCCTAAGCCTGACCGCGCCCCCGCCCAACTGCGCAGAGGACCAATGCCAGCTCGTCAGGTAGAGACATGGCACATACCATGGCACACGCACACAAAGCGCATGAATGAAATGTGTGTGCGTATCCCTTTTCCCAGGCGGTCGGTGTGGTCGTTTCTGCGCAAGCGCCCCCGGCTGCCCCCTCCCCCTTTCCTCCCAGTGCAGCCGGCCGAGCTCAAGCCAGAAGATATGGTCAAGAAAGACATGCAGCAGGTCGACGTGGCCTCCCTGCAGGTGACGGACCGTCGCCAAGAGAGACATGAAAGACACGATGGTCACGGTGGGCGCGATGGTTGTGTGTGTGTGTGTGTGTGTGCAGGATTTGCTTCAGCGGTGTGACCTCGAGGACGTGCAGTGGCAGGGAGACCTGAGTGGCCGCAAACCAGACACCGGCCAGCTCGACTCAAACATCGGTCACACACACACACACACACAGACCATTCTGGTCTGCCTCATTCACCGGTTTACTGACGCGTGCATGCAGATGCGCTTTTGGAGGACATCGGTGTGGGCAAGGCGGCCATGGCGCTGCAGCGCAAGGCCACAGAACTGGCACTCGGGGAAGGAGGACAGGACGACAAACCGAAGAGCAGACCTGGAGACACAACAAAGTGGGCATCCACGCTGCAGGTGTCTGTCGGTTGTCATGTTTGTATATGTCCGTGTGTCGCTCATGCAGAAGCGATGCGTTGCTCGAGTCGATGTTGCCTCCAGACGTCAGAGAGCGAGACACCATGAAGGTCAGCCAGCGCGCCACACCCACACACGGCTCTTCCTTGTCACGTTGTGCACACGCACTTGCCCTGTCCGTGCAGGAGATCCTCAGCACCGAGGGCGTCGGGCGTCTGATCGACAACCGACAGGCCGGAGTGCTCAAGGTGAGCCGGGGAGACATACACACACGCCTTTGTGTTATGCATGCATGGGTGTGCGCTCATGTCGCACGACACACAGGACCTCGGTTCGTCGTCTGAGTTGAATGTTGAGGGCGGCAATCTGACGGGCGGTCAGGCGTCGCGTCAGGACCTGATGAAGGGGCTGGGTCTGGGACTGGAGGACGACTAGATCATGTCGACACTTAGATCGATGCTTAGGCGTCGTGTGTTGGGGATTTGGGTGTATCTTCTCGCTCTCATGACAGCTGGAACTTGCTCGTTGGAGGCTCACATTGAGGTATCCGTGTCCATCCATCCATCCATCCATTTGTCCATTTGTCCATGCACATGTTCGTGCGTCGATCGGATCGGCGGATCTGTCTCTACCTACATACCTCCCTACCTCTTGCCTGTGTGTCTCCCCGTTCATTGAAACACTAGCTACGCCCTGACTACTGACCTCACTCATCGTTCGTTCGTTCGTTTTGGTTCGTCCATGGAGGCAGCCAGCCAGCATAACGTTGCTTGCTGGCTACGTGTGTCACCCCGTCCCATTCTCGTCTCAGCCATCCATCCATCCATCCATCCATGGGTGACAAACTGTCTAATCTCTACTGCCTGTCTGGCGTCCATCTGCCGTCCGTCCTGGCTGTATCTACACACACACACACGCACACACACACAAATCATGCACACATCCACGCAAAATCCCCCCCTTCTTGATGTCGTGTGCAGTGAGCGCATACAGTCATGCGCATCCGTGTGTGTTCTTGCTGGTTGTCGCCGCACGGACCCCGAATCCTTCAGGACATGAAGGATTCGGACGCCGTGCGACGATGACCTCCAAGAGCACCACACGTACGCGAGAGGACAGACAGCATCACGCTCCCCACACGTCCCCTTCTTGACGTCTTGCGGCCCGTGTGTGTTCCTTCTCGTTGAGTATGACGGTGCGCGAATCCATCAGACAGGAAGGATTCGGGCCGACATCACCACCAGCGGCTCAACACCACACGCGCACCAGTCAAGGAACACGAGAGAGAGAGAGAGGGAGAGGGAGAGAGAGAGAGAGAGAGAGAGAGACTGACTCGCATTATCCATAACAAACACACACGCAGCGTCCCCTGTACAGTCAGACACCTTACTCCCTACCCCCACACATGCACCCACCCATCGTCCGTCACACAGTCACCCTCCCCCCCTCCCTCCGCTCATACTCGCGAAACGCCCCCACCACCCGTGTCGAGAACGATCCCAGGCTGAAGGTCAGGATCTGCCGCGCCAGGCCCGTCGCCGCCAGCCGAAAGGCAGTCTCGGGCGTCCAGCTAAGGGGCGCCGGCACGATGGCCTCGGCGTTGAAGGCGACATCGACCAGCAGCTCGACTTTGGTCGGCACTGCCTCGCGGGGCGTGGTGCAGGTGAGGTTGCCCTTGATGTCCACTGCCAGGGTCTCTTCGAATCGCTTGCCGAGGACCCGCCGCACGCCGGGAATGTCGACATCAAAGGCCTGGACAATGACGGTCGGCCCACGTGATGTGACGCGGACCCCGACGGAGGGTGGGCTGAGCTTGAAGCCGAGCAGGCTGATGGAGAAGAGCGTGGCGCGGTAGGTCTCGCCCTGGCCGTCCTCACCGATCCTCTCCAAACTGCACACAGACATGCACAAGGACATTGAATGCGTCGGTTGCATATATGTGCGTGACTGTTTCTCTCCCTCCCTCCCTCCCTCCCTCCCTCGACCGTGTGGCTTACAGGTTCGGTGGCCATTGCGCCTCCAACACTCTGCCGGGCGACCTGAACCAGCTCTCCCACGTGTCAAGCTGGGACCTCACGCTCACAACTTGTGTGCTGGTCGCCCCGAAACCGACACGTGCGCCGTCTTTCCAAAACGAGCAGTCTGCACACACAGCACACAGCACACCACCAGGACCAGCTCACATGTGTACTTGGATGAGATGTGAGGCGAGAGAGATCTGCGCACTGCACCGTACCTGCATCGATTTCCATCCGCAGCTGACGAGAAGGCATGCGGAAGCGCGGGAAGCGGAGCAAGCTGCGGGAGGTGGCACTTCGTGAGATGTCGGGCATGGCATTGCGGTGATGATGGTTGCCCTGGATGCGCCTGAGAGGGGCGGCACTGACGAATGCTGATGTGTGTGATCTATGCTTGTGCCGGGCGACGGAGAGGGACAGCTGAGGGATGGAGGCAAAGAGAGGAAAGAGGCTGGGAAACAACTGCATTTGGCGTACCACAGGAGGGGAAGATGCGAGCTGAAGCGCGGCGATCGGAATGATCCTGGGGGGTCCGACTACAGATCTGTGACATTTTCCTGTCTGCATGACGCTGCACATCACCCAGAGTCATGCTCAAGCCTCCTGGTCATCTTTTGCACTGACAGTCGTTGAAAAGACAGGTAGGGCACTGCCAGACAAGTGATGATGTGTGCTGCATGACAGATTTAATGTTTGCGTACGAAGTACCCATATATGTCGGGAGGGCACAAGAGAGCCATGCCAACCGGATGGTTTTGGAATGTCTTTAACGACAGCATACATTGTACATCACCCATGAATCAGCAAGTCAACGGTCGGTGAATGTCTGCAGTCAGAGGCTACGATCTCCCTCAATCACATGAATGGCGAAGGCGGTGCAGCAGATGCGCTATCTCCTCCGGGAGCTGACGATGCGTGAGGGCTACGAGCTGGACAGGACTCTGAGTCCTGTCAGAGTCCTCAAGACAGGGCCGTCGCACCCAGAACAGCAAGATCTGAGGCTGGCAGCCTGCCTTATGAATCAAGGAGTGATGAGTCCCTGCGTGAGGCCCTCTGATTGTCTTACTACATTGTCGCATCGGTAATATTCGCATCCACCCGCCCCCCTCCAGGAGCGGCTGTGGCAGCCTTGATCCTCTGCCCCAATGCCACAAAGAGGCCGCCGGATACCATGTAGGCGGCAGCCACCCCCCAGGCCACCACATCTTTCAGGGCAAAGGACGTCATCAGACTTCCCAGCAGCTGCAGCAATGAACGAACACATGAACGTCGCAGCAAGGACATCAGTGGATGCAGAGAGGATTCTCGGGCTTGGTGGCTCGGCTGCTGACCACTGGAAGTGTGTTGCTGAGGAGATTACTGAACTGAAAGAGCCCTGAACAGACAGACAGACAGACAGACACACACAGACAGACAGACGCAGCGTGCAATGCTGAGGGGGGCATGGATGGATGTGCGCACCTCACCTTGTGCCGTCCCCCTGTACTGACTGGGCGTGTTGGACTGACCGGTGAGGTGACGTACCAAACACAAGACAAGACACACATTGAATGAATGCATTGGTGGCATGGCATTGAGGCACTCAGTGTTGCCCACCTGTAGTATTGCTACAGTCGGGCCAAACCAGCACTCCGCGGCAAGATACTCGAGCAACAGCAGGAAGGCCGACAGCTCGAAACTGTCCGCCAGACACACGCCCATCCACAGCGGAGCAGCCAAGAATGACCCTGATGGATGGACAGTGCAGCAAGTGCAGGGACACATGGCAAACACCCACGGCTAGCTTCTCTCTCTCTCTCTATCTCTCTCTCTCTCTCTCTGCATCTGCCGCCTACCGACAGCTGGGATCCACGCGCGGATGCTCTCGTCCTTCTCGGCGAGCCTGTCGGCAAGAGCGCCGCCCAGCAGAGAAGACCCCGCCCCTACGGCACCAACGATGCCAGCATTCAGCACAGAGAAGGCCGCCATGCTGTCGGGGAAGCAGGCGCGATACAGTGGGCCCTGTTGCAGCAAATCGCATGGACACATACATCTTCTTGTTAACATAGATACGTGTGTTGCCAGCTGACCTTCCACACGCCGATTGAGAGGCCAGCCGCGATTCTCACGACCGAGGCGAGTATCACGAGCTTCACGACATCAGACGACAGGACCTCCCCCACCACCCTCCTCTGATCCACCCACGTGCCCAGCACGCCCACCTCTCTCCTTTCTCCCTCCTCCCTCCCCTGGCCGGCTTTGTCTTCGTCGATCGTTCTCGCCATCTGGCTGCCTGCAGTGGCGTCACGTGGGTCGGTAACCAGGAGGAGGGATAGGATGCCCGACGTCGCTGCGAAGGCAGCCACGATACTCGTGACCGCCCTCCAGCCGAGCTGCTCATTCAGAAGGATACTCAGCGAGGCAAGGGCCTACTGCATGCAACCACACCCACAAACACACACAGCAACCAGCCATTCATTGTTAGTGAGTGAGTGTGTGTGGCGGCTGTGCAATTGCTGAGTGACCTGCCCCAGATAGACGGCCGACACGTAGAAGGAGTTGGCCGTCGCCCGCTGGTTCGCGGGGAAAATATCGGCCAGCAGCGCGTAAGCAGCGGGCGTGGTGAATGCCATGAACACCCCCTGGCCCACCCTGAGGCCAAACAGCTGACCAAACGACTGCGCCCCAGCCTGAAGAGCCGTCATGGCCGCCCATCCGAGTGCCGGCAGCCCTGTGGCGACTCTCCGACTCATCTTGTCCACCTGTCCACCAGCAAAGAAGCCTGCTGCCGAGAAGAAGATGGTGAAGCCGAACGAGGCGATGAAGGAGTACTGCTTCTCGTCAAAGCCCAGGTCGATGTTGATCAGCCGCCTGGCGGCCTCGGTGGGTGGGCCAAGGGACTCGCTGACGGAGTCGTTGAAATCCACCAGATAGTAAAGCAAAGTGCGGGACCATTGATTGGAGAGATAGACCAGGGTCAGTACCGCAAGAATCACGAAAGGCCGGAGCGCTGGCGACTCGGCGTCAGTGCTGCTGATGGGCTCGAATGACGCGTCTGGCGCTTTCGTCTGCTGCTCTTGCTCGGCTTGTGTGGGTTTTGCAGAAAGCCGTGACAAGGCTGCGGGCCAGACAAGTGGTTGAAGCTTCTTAGCATGGTGCCGGCGGCCACCAGTTGTCCTCTGCAAGAACTGCGGCGTTGCAACGTCTGCCGGGAGCCGATGGATGAATGGCGGGGCGACGCTTGCTGACCTCCTGACGAGAGGAATAGCCTCCCCTGATGCTGCACTGCCGATATGCAAGCAGATGAGTGTCGAAGTGATCATCAATCTGCCGCTTTTCATCAAGATCTCCACGCTTCAAGTCTGCCCAGGCTCCCAGACGCCATTCCCTCCCTTTTCCCTTCCCCTCTGCTCGCCACTTTTGCGAGCTTGAAAAGGCGCATCTCCCCAGCTCGCAAAACTCTAGAGAAGCCGGAACAGGCAAACACGTTAACAGGAGGAGCGAGGAAGACGGTTTGATACTGGTCATGAAGCGAGAGACCTGGAAAACATTATGTCTATCGGCATGATGGTTCGTGGATTGTGGCGTGCCCCCCTGCCTTCGTTGGTGGCTGTATTGTGCCTCATCGCAAGCAGCAGCCTCGCACAGAGTGAGTGATATGGACAAACATGGAGGAAAGATCTGCTTGCTGATGAACTCAAGTCCTTCGTCAAACGTGTGTGTGTTCCTTGTTGTAGCGGGTTCCGATGGTGGTGAGGGGAGCGACGATTCGTGGTGCTTCCAGCGGGGCATCGGCTTTGTGGGCGGCGACCGTCGTGAGCAGCGGCTCCCATCCGCCCTCGCGTGTCAGAGGGCATGTCAGGAGCACCCCGCTTGCGAGTTTTTTTCTTTTCGAGGGGTGACCAAGACCTGCGACTTGAAGATCTACAGTGGGCAGGCGTCACAGGTCAGGCCGAGGATGAACGAGGACGCCGGAGTCATCTCTGGGCCAAGATACTGTCCTGCTGGTTGGGGGGAGTGTCCTGTGATTGAGGGGGACTATAGCTACAAGTGCCTCCTCGACCTGTGTCAGCTCCACGAGCCGAACAGTGGCCGCATGCCTATAAGGGGATTCTATCGCAACGTCACCTCTACTGCAGCCGCTTTGCGCGGCGCACCCAGCCCGCCATCCGTCAGGAACTCCGTTCTCGTGTGCCCATGCCGTGATTGGGTGGACCAGCCTGGCTCTGGCGATGAGGCCATCGACGCGATTCGTGACCCCAAAGTCACCATGTGCGACCTTTCCCTCTGTGGCTTTGACAAGCCCGGCGCCAACAACACAACCTGCGGCCTCAAATTGGTCTCGGGCAGCCTCAAGTGTGCAGACGGCACTACGTGCGACAACACTCTCGAGGCCATCCGTGCACGATCAGACTATCTGTCGTCGAGCGACCTGGAGGGAAGGGGCTTCTCGTCACCATGGGGGCTTGATCGTGACGGCAATCGTGATGCTGACGACGACGGCGACACCGGTGATAGGGATGATAATAGGGACGGCTCCAAGGAGGAGGTTCCAAGCATGTTGGTTCCTTCTTGGAGCATCGGGTTCATGGCTGCCACGGCAACCATCTGCTGCTGCGCCGGGCTCTGGATCGCAGGTAGGTCAACAACCTCTCACCGGCCCATCCATCCATCCATCCTGTCTGCCACACACCACACCGCCGGTATTCGATTATATGCCTGCAGGCAAGCAGCGCCCTCCCCTTGATCTCGAGACGGGTATGAATGGCATGAACGCTCAGCCTGGACCACGACAGCACTCACGCAGCCGTCGGGAGCGCCGTCGACAGAGCCTCAGTGACATCCCACCCGCCTATGACGTCATGAAGACCAACGGCCAGCCAGGGCGATCTGACTCAAGTACGCACGGACGTGTCAAGACACAAGGGAGGGGAGGCGCGCGACGTGTTGATTTGCTCTGTCGTGTTTGGTGAATGCAGGCGCCGCTCCACCCATGCTACTAAGGCAGCTCAACAGCCACTTTTTCAAGTAAGAGTGACAGACAGCACCACACGCGGCAAAGCACGATCCTATCTATCATTCGTGTGTGTCTCACGTGTGCGGCAGGGTGTTCAAGATCCCTTCATCTCGCTCTCAGCGCTCCCGGCGAGGCAGCGCCAGAGACGGTGTGTCGCCCTCCCCCTCTTTCATCGCCTCCACGCCCCCCGACCCATCCTTCTCAATCAACGACACACCCAGGCAGCACTCGGGCATGTCATCGGACGCCACTCTTAGCGCAGCACCAGTCGTCATCGGCAACAAAGGTATGCGGGCTGAAGCGGACAACGGCACACCGAACATTCTGATGGGTGTCTCTCTGTCTGTCTGTCTGTCTGTCTGTGTATGCAGGCGGTTCACCTGCCGCCCCGGTGGCCGCTTCCAGCAGCGGCGATGGCCAAGCTGCATCTGCCAGCAATGGCACGAGCGCGAGAGCCGGCCAATCGATTTCGGATGAGGGGCCGACATCGCCGGACACGTGTGCTCGTGTGATCGGCAAGGAGGGTGGCGGCGGTGAGGATGAGGTGGAGAGGTATAAACACGACGACACCATGGGCGACCTGGATACCGGCGCGCAGTGCACCATCTGCTTCGATGCGCCGAGAGAGACCTTGCTGTTGCCATGTGGACACGGAGGGTGAGTGAGTACGGGATAAAGGGGCCACAGAACCGACCTGAGAACTATTGCTGTGTGGGCAGGTTATGTGAGGAGTGTGCCGTGGAGCTGATCGAGCTGCCCCTCAAGTCCAAGCACATGCGCAAGCACAAAGTGAAGCCAGAGTGCCCATTATGCAGAAAACCCATCGAGCGGGTCATGAAGATCATCCGCCACTCGGCACACGAGAAGTGGGTCGAGGCCACACCCATTGCCGTCGTCAAGGTCCGGCCAGAGAGTGATGCCCCTGCCTCGGCGTCAGCGTCAGCATCACAGGGCACCACTCGCGCCACGTCGAGACAGCCGACAAGGGGCGCCCACACGGGGACGGTGCTGCCTGAGTTCGCTCCTGGCCTGATGGAGCCCAGGGTTCCGCCCAGCAGAGTCTGGTAAGGGTGTAGTGTGACTTGTGTCGTGCTGCGGTGCGGCTGGGGAGGCGAGAAGGTTTTCGGTTGTGCCTTCCTTCGTCGGTCGTTGGTCGATGGGATGGGTGTCTTTATTATTTGTTGCTAGGGTGGGTGGGGGCGGGGGAGAAGGGGGGCCCGTGGCCCACGGGATAGAGAGATGGCTGGATGGTCCATCCATTGTCTGTGAGTACATACATACATACATACATACATCGATGTGTATACGTGTGTGTATCTACATATGTGGATGGACAAGTTTGTTTATCAAGCAGCCAGCGATCAAGTGGGTGGCACATGCAACACACCGAGTGCATCTGACGTGGTCCATGTCAAGTCAGTGACACTGTACCATTAGTGCGCTTGCACGAGGTGAATGCACGTGTGTGTGGAGTGTGTGTGGCTTTATTGTGCAGCCACGATTGTTTGTCTACACAGTCGTTATATCACCTTGCAATAATGGAGTACCATTACAGCGAGGGGGGGCGAGTGGCCAGACATGCACACAGCCGAGTCAGGAAACGATTGCTTTTTTCTTTGCTGTAGAGGGAAGGAGCTGGTGAGTGTGTGATATATTCTGAGGCACGTTTCCATTCATCTGTCGTGTGTAACTAGCAGGCAGTGTGTGTGTGTGTGTTTGCGAACAGCACACACACGCATAGAGACGACAACAATCAAGTGTGAAATGCATGGAAGTCTTACACATACCAAGTTTTCCAATCGATTCCAGCCTTCACGTGTAGAGACACAGACACACGACCCGATTCAAGCCTTGTGAGTTCACGAGACATCAAAAACAATCACACGTGAGTCAGTCGGTCCGCATCGATATGAAAGGCTCCTTAATCGCTCGCTCCACTTCTCGCTTCCGTGTTATGGCGAGAACCCCAGCACACTTATCACCCCATTTCGTGTGTTCGTATACGGACATGGCTCAGTAGTGCGAACATTGACAAGCCACTCACTCTCCCCACCCCCTTGTGACAGCTCAATGGTTGCTATCTGCTCCCCCAGCGCCCCACCACCCAATACGATCATCCGCATGTGCTCTCCTCCCTTCAGCCCCTTCTTGTCGAAAACCTCCAACACTCCCTGCAGCCCGATGCTCGGATGGGCGGCCAGCAGAGCCTGAACTCGCTGTGCTGCGACACCGGTCACCTCAGCCGATATGGGCCAGCTCATATGAGGCCGGTCATTCGCTGGGTCTGCGGTCAGCCAGTGAGTGAGGATGAAGCCCACAGCGCAGCCGTAGGTTCGGTACTCGAATGAGCCCCACCCCTCCTCCCCGCTTTGCACATGTGTGGGCGGGCTTGCCGCGTCAAAGGTAAAGATGGCGCTGGGTGAGTGCTGGAGGGAAAGAGGGCCAAGAACTTGAGGGCGGAGCCGAATTCGCCCGCCCTCTAAGGTCCACCCCGTGGCTGAGTACTCGCCACTGGCGAGGCGCCTCAGTCGCCATAAGGAAGGCCGCCTGGTTGCTGTCGAACACACTGAAGTGCTCGTCACGCAACACCACCCGGCTTGTAGGTGGTACAGCAGCGCTAGGTGAGGCCTCCATCTGGCCCACCTGCCCCCATACTCGAGCATGAAAAGCCGCCGCCTCAGCTGCTCCACCATAGCACCGGTGGCCACCGTGGCGGCCACTCGTTGGGTTAGCTGAGGGACGGGCACCTGGACCAGATCGCCGAAGAAAGAGGCTATCTTGATGGACAGCAGCCGTGCCAGAATGTCCCAGAGGACCCCAGTTTGGGTGAAAGTGATAGAGTGGGCGTTGACAAGGGCCTCGAGCTGCGAGTAGCTGCCGACGTACTCGGCAATGAGAGGCACTGCTTCCTCAGGAACATCTGATGCGCGGATGGCTCCTCGGATGGCCTCTTCGTAGTCGGTCGCCGCGCCGTCCTGTGCCGCTGCCGGGGCGCCGTTGAGTGGCGATAGCTGGTCGGAGCTGGACACGTTGACGAGGGACGAGCGCATCCTGTCCCATGAGTCGTGGAGGCGCCTGAAGTCCTCCTCATCCCGCACCTAGCAGACGTCGAGTGCGAGTCGGAGGTCGCTCTCCCGCGCCATGGCCTCGACGGATGGGTACTTGGCCTCGAAGACGTCGAGGTACTGAAGGTAGCGCCTGGAGCCGCTGAAGGCGCTCTTGAGCCACTCCTCGACCGTCATGTCGTGGTAGTCGACCTCCGTGGATGAGGGCGCCTTGCCGCTGCCCTGCTCGTCCTTGGCCGCGTCGCCCGCCGCCGCCAGTCGCTCCCTGTCCACACCTGACACCTCTTCCACCTTGTCGACATCCCCCTTCTTGCCGATCTTGGTCGGCCGCCCGTGGGCAGTGTCGAGGATGAAGTCGGCAATCACTTC